TTAACTTGCTTATCTCACTTCAAAATTTTTTCTTATTTTCATCAAAATTTCTTGACATTGCCTGTCCCACTATCATCTGCTCTCCTTTTGCACTCTTTCGTCACACTCTTCACCTTTTGTATACTCTCCATATACTCTACTCTTCTTATAACACTTCTGCTTTGTAAAAACCTCTCAGAAGCTATCTTTTTCTCTTTTATCACACCCTTGATCATTCCACCAATCACTCCTCTTTCCTCCTGCACCCATCTTCCTATAACCACAAACTTCTGTCCCACATTCTAATACTGCATTTATAAAACTATTCCAATCCTCATCGACCCCCTCCCCCCCACTACTCATACTTGCACCGGCCCACCTTTCTGCCAATAGTTGCTTATATCTCACCCGAACTTCCTCCTCCTTTAGTTTATACACTTTCACCTCCCTCTTACTTGTTGTTGCCATTTTCCTCTTGTTCCACCTACTCTTACTCTAACTATAGCTAAGAGTACATCTTGAAGCCTACCCATCAACCTTTTATCCACCAATACATAATCTAACAAACTACTTTCATTATTTATCCTCTTTTTCATAAAATATGTGTTACTTATTACCAAACCTCTTGCTACTCATAGCTCAATTAAAGGCTCCCCATTTTCATTTGTCCCTCACACCCTAAACTTACCTACTACTCCGTCCACAACATTTTTACCCACTTAATCATTGAAATCCTCAACGACCTCTCACTTTGTTCAAAACTCCCCATGCACTCACTCAAGGTTTCCCAAAATCTCTCTCTCTCCTCTACACTTCTCTCTTTTCCAGGTGCATAGACACTTACTATAACCCACTTTTCACATCCAACCCTTATTTTACTCCACATAATCCTTGAATTTATTCTTTTATATTCTCTCTTTTCCTGCCTAACTTATCCTTCAACATTATTACTACTCCTTCTTTAGCTCTAACTCTATTTGAAACCCCTGATCTAATCCCATTTATTTCTCTGCATTGAAACTCTCCCACCCCCTTTAGCTTTGTTTCACTTAAAGGCACGACATCCAGCTTCTCATTAATAATGTCATCAATCATCTCTTCCTTATCATTCGCACAACATCCACGCACATTCAAACATCTCACTTTTATGGTTTTCTTCTTTTTCGTTGTAGTAGGCTATTCGGGAAAAGGGGTTACTAGCCCATTGTTCCCGGCATTTTAGTTGACTTTTACAACATGCATGGCTTACGGAGGAAAGATTCTCATTCCACTTCTCCATGAATATAAAAGGAAAAGCAATAAGAGCAAGAAATGTTAAGACTAAATCAAAGAAAACCCAGACGTGTGTGTATGCATAATCATGTACATGTATGTGTAGTGTGACCTAAGTGTAAGTAGAAGTAGCAAGATGCACCTGAAATCTTGCATGTTTATGAGACAGAAAAAAGACACCAGCAATCCTTCCATCATGTTAAACAAATACAGGCTTCCTTTTTGCACTCACTTGGCAGGACGGTAGTACCTCCCTGGGTGGTTGTAGTCTTTATTTATCCCACTTAGTGTGAGTATTCATACGTTTTTGCTTCAGCGTTTATGTTTGATTATGGGATGCTGCTCAAGACCCCACCTTCATTCTGAAATTCAAAAAATTCTGAAATTCGAAACATTGCAGGCCTCAAGGGTTGTGGATACAGGGATGTGGACCTGTATTTCATAATATAAATATAAATATGAAAGCTGGGAATATAATTTTGTCATTATTATATTTAATTTTTTTTTTTAATTCTATGGATATCTCTCACCAAGGCAGAGTGGCCTCAATAAAGAAAACACCTTCACCATCATTCACTCAATTGCCACCTTTCCAGAAGTGTGCTGACATCACAGTCAGATTTGTTTAACTTTTTTTTTTTAACAAGTCGGTCGTTTCCCACTGAGGCAGGGTGACCCAAAAAAGAAAGGAAAAAACTCTAAAAGAAAATGCTTCATCATCATTCAACACTTTCACCATCACTCATACATAATCACTGTCTTTGCAGAGGCACTGAGATACGACAGCTTAGATGTCCCTCCTAATTGCCAGTATCCCAAACCCTTCCTTTAAAGTGTAGGCATTGCACTTCCCATTTCCAGGACTCAAGTCCAGCTAACCGGTTTTCCTGAATCCCTTCGCAAAATATTACCCTACTCACACTGCAACAGCTTGTCAGGCCCCAAAAACCATTTATCTCCACTCCTATCTAACACTCACACACACTTGCTGGAAGTCCAAGCCCCTTGCCCACAAAACCTACTTTACCCCCTCCCTCGAACCTTTTCAGGGATGACCCCTACCCTGTGGTGTAGAGAAATCCATAATTCTTTTTTGTAAGAGAAAATAGTAGACAGAGTGTGTCTGAAAGATTTTTTGTACCACAGCTGTTTGTTTCCTACCAAGGGGGTAAAGGAGGTTTTGTGTGTGAGGGGGTGAGACTTCCAGCAAGGATGCAAGAGCATGTTAGATAGGAGTGAGTGGAGGCAAGTTGTTTTTATGACTTGATGTGCTGTTGGAGTGTAAACAAAGTAACATTTATAAAGGGATTCACAGAGACTGGTTAGCCAGTCTCAAGTCCTGTAGGTTGGAAGTACAGTGCCTGCACTCTGAAGGAGGGGTGGAGATGTATTGCGGTTTTTGAACTATAGTGTTGGCATGCCTCTGGCAAGACAGTGATGGAGTGAATGATGGTGAGTGTTTCTTTTTTTCAGGTCATCCTGCCTCAGTGGGAAATGGGTGATGTGTTAATAAAAAAATATTATTGTGTAAATTGCACTAAGACTGCCAACTTTGCACCTGCATAATTTCAAAAGTTTTCCATCAAATTTTATTTTTTTTTTCACATCATTACTTTCAGAAAAAGCTTCTTTAACATTTCAATTTTTTTATTTTTTTGATAATCACAACACTTTCAGCACTTTTAATTTCAGGGGTCACAACATTAAAAGGGTTAAATACTTAGTAAGGAGCCTAGCCTTGTCTCATCTGTGTATACTGAAATATTCTGTATATCGTGATTATACCTCCTTTTAGTCTTCATTACTTCATTTATATAAGGCTCAGCTCATGCATGCTTCGTACCTCATTTTCTCAAATCAGACACCACTGTTGATGCTCTCCTGTTACTCAATAATTTTCATTTTGTTTTGGTGAGTGAAGGTACCACACCAGTGCTACATGCTCAAAAATAGATCTTGCATTCAAGTTAAAAATATTCTCTTTGAGTTTGTCTAAGTTCCTTAATGGCTCTTCTAGGATTACTAACTTAACCTGTGCAGCTGATTTTATTAAGTTTGTGTGGGTTTATGTGAGTCGACTATTGAGTAATAGTTCCCTCATGGGAGGTTCCCTGATGCTAATGAAGGGCGTTTGATCTAAGGAATCAGACCTTTGTTCCAATTACTTGAATGAAGTTGGAATTCCTTCCGTTTCCCCAGGCGCTGTATGACCCCTATGATTTTATCCCCCCCTCATGAATGTAATGATAATCATCTAGGTAGTGGTTATTTAATGTATTTTTTTTAACAGTTTCTGTGAGCTTTGTTCTTCATTCCCTATCTCCCAGCTTATAACTTGACATTTACTTTGGGTGAACTTCAGTCACCTTTTATTTTACTATTCCTGAAGTCTGAGAAGATCTTTCTTCAACCTTCCCTCATCTTCCTTTGTTTGCATTTTCTTCGCTGTCTTGGCATCATGTGCAAATAAGTATTTGTAGGAGTTAATTGAGTCGCCAACATATACTAAGATTAATAGTGGAATCAACAATGTTTCCTACTACGACTCCACTATTGACACTAACATCCTGATGCTTCATCCGTTCTGGTGGTTACTTTCTGTCATTCAAGCATCTCCCTAACCATGCCAAAACCCTTCCCTCCTTCCCCATCTTGCTTGTTTACTCTGCTAAGCAGCCATTTGTGGCATCGTATCAGAAGCTCTCTCACAACCCAGACATGTGTAGGCTGCCTGTTCCCTTCTCTGTCTGACCCTCGTTAATTCACCACACTTGTACAATTCAAGCAGGTTTTTCTATGAAAATCTTTGCAGTCTTAAGATGTTCAGCAAGCGCTCTCCATATCATTCCCAACAGTAATTTAACCCTTAAACTGTCCAAACATAGATCTACGCTTTTTCAACATTTGAAAGTATGTAAAAAATGTAGACCTTCTTTTTCTTTTTTTACATTTGAAAATGTGTAAAAAAAACTTTGATCTACATTTTTTTTGTTATATTTGAAAATATGTAAAAAAACTTAGATCTACTTTTGGAGCACTACGCATGTGAACATAGATCTGTTTGGACAGTTTAAGGGTTAAACATTACTCCCATTGGAATAGTGGTCTGTAGTCAGTGTCTTGTCTCTCACTCTTTAATACTAGCATCATGCCACTATTTTCCATTCATTTGGCATTTCACATCACTAGGGATTTTTTAAAGATTTGTATCAATAACAAAGATTTAGGAAAAAACAGCTTAGACAAATTTGAGATGTGGCTAGCATTATAACAGTGCCTGCTCTTCGATGGATAGGTGGGATATTGCAGGTTTGGGGATTATTTGATTTGTGTTGTCCATGCTTTTCTTAAAAACCAGCCATGGAATGAATGATGGTTAATGTGGCAATAATGGTAGAATTACTAGCAAAACGTTAGGTAAATGGACGTCGATGCAACTAATGTGATATTTAATGTGGCAATGTTTTGCTCTCCAGGAGCTTTGTCAAACCATTATAAACATTACAAGGATGCAGAGGTACATACATATAGGTACCACGTAATGTTTGTAATGGCTTGACAAAGCTCCTGGAGAGCAAAATGTTGCCACAATAAAATATCACATTAGTTGCATTTGCGTCTGTTTACCTAACATGGTTAATGTGCTTAACTTCTTCAGGTCACCCTGCCTTCGGGAGAGGGGGTGGACATGGCTAATGTGTTGAAAAAATTAGGTACAGTATATATGATTTATATTGTTTTCCCCACAGGTGTTATCATTTGTGTATCCTGCTCACTTCCTGCACGTGGACATCTTGACGCGCCTCATTGCCCTCCTTAACATACCGACCTCTTCCATTTCCCCACCAGTCCTATCAGTTCTCACATATATAGGCAAATATAAACCAATTGGTAAGTACATCCAGGTATAAAGAAAAAATTGCTATTTAGTTTAGGATTGTTATCTGTCTATCCTATGGAAATGATTGTTTTAATTTAAGTAGGAACACCAGCTTAGTTAACCCATAAACGGTCCAAACGTATATATACGTTTTATGTGTCCTACATTTAACATTGCCACGATAAGCCTGAGTCGCCTAGACATGTGAGAATGGGTGTGAGCATTCACTGTGCACCATATTAAAATAATTGGGGATGCCTGGGTACCATATGCTCATTTTTCCTATTAAAAAACAACAATGTTTTTTTTTTTCTCAAAAAAGTTGGGGCAGTACGGCAGTGAACGTATATATACATTTGGACCGTTTACGGGTTAAGGCTAGTGTCTTGATTGTATGCATATTTAGAGTGTTGAAAATTTCACAATTATATGAAAATAATTATACAGGAGAGCCAAGCTTATTCAGCAGGTTAGGTTTCGGGCTACCTCTGTAAAGTGAATTATACCTTTTTATCGCTTTCAAGTGCATACAGAAACCTGATAACATGTTTACACTATTGTATATTAAGTGAGCAATATAGCTAGGCCTAAAAGATTCATATACAGTACACACATTACTTTTTTTTTCAACAAATTGGCTGTATTCCACTGAAATAGGGTCGCCTTAAAATGATAAACAAAAGTTTCTCTTTTGAACTTTAGTAATGTATACAGGAGAAGGGGTTACTAGCCCCTTGTTCCCCCTATTTAACCCTTAAACTGTCCAAATGTAGTTCTACGTTCACGTGCATAGCACTCCGAACGTAGATTTTCGTTTTATTTTACATGTTTTCAACCTTGGCACGATAGGCCTGAGTTGCCTAGACATGAGAGAATGGGTCTGTGCACTCTGTGTGCACAGTATGACAAAATTTGGGGATGCTGGGAAAAATGCGCTCTTCATTTTAAACAAAACAAAAAAAAAATTTTTTTCCAAAAATATTCAGAGCGCTACGAAAGTGAACGTAGATCTACGTTTGAAGAGTTTAAGGGTTAAGTCACCTCTTATGACACACATGGCTTACGGAGGAAGAATTCTGTTCCATATCCCCATGGAGATAAGAGGAAATAAACAAGAGCAAGAACTAGTAAGCAAATAGAAGAAAACCCAGAGGGGTGTGTACATACAGTGGAACCTTGAGTTACGAGTTTAATCCATTCCATGATCTAGCTCGTAACTTAATTTGCTCATACATACATCAGATCAATTTTCCTCATTTAAATTAATTGAAATGCCATTAATCCGTTTCAGCGGAATTCCTGCTCTTGGGAGGCAGGACAAAATACCTCAATATTTCGCTAATATCAACTCTACGGCTTATTTATCTATCACAATTGATCTAATATGACATAACAAACAATATAAATAACATAGAAACATGATATATACTCTAGAATGAATAAAATGTCATTATGTGACGAGTAGTGGCAGTCACTCCCTCTCTGACCATATATTCTCATTCTTCTTCTAGTGCAGTTTGTAAGGCTAACTGCACTAGATCATTAGTTTCATAAGGAAAACACTGAAACAATGTATTTATAAATAAGAAATATTGTATAAAAGCATAAAACATAATAGAGAATGTAAAGAAATACAGGCTTTATAAAATGTACGTACATATTTACCTCAGAGAAGAGATGCTGGCGAGGTGGAGGGTGGAAGACAGGCATAGCAGCTTATACTGTCAGTGGCCTACAGCCACAACCCACACACCTCACTTGTGTTTATCTATGATTTCATGCTTTACCTCCATGGAAATCAGCCTCTTTTTTCTTCTCAGCACTGTCATTTGCACTTACTTTCTTAGGACCCATGGTTAGAAAAAAGAAATTTGGGAAAATAACTGTACAAAATGTAAGCAAAGCATGAGAGAAATGCTTCCACTGCTCAGTGGATGTTTTGGCATTTGCTGTGCCAACTAGTGGCGGCATTCTGAAGCTCCTCATTATTATTATTACTATTATAATTTTTTTTTTTCAACAAGTCGACCGTCTCCCACCGAGCAGGCAGGGTGACCCAAAAATAAAGAAAATCCCCAAAAAGAAAATACTTTCATCGTCATTCAACACGTTCACCTAACTAACACGTAATCACTGTCTTTGCAGAGGCGCCCAGATACAACAGTATGTATGAAGATATATAACATACCCCTCCAAGCTGCCAATATCCCAAACCCCTCCTTTAAAGTGCAGGCATTGTACTTCCCGTTTCCAGTACTCAAGTCCGGCTATATAAAAATAACCGGAAGAAAACATCTGGACCTTGAGAGTTGATCTTACAGTGCGGTCATGTCTCTTCATTTTCCTGAATCCCTTCACTAAATACAGTGGACCCCCGCATACCGTTGGCCTTACATAACGTTAAATCCGCATACCAATACATTTTATCGCTAAGATTTTGCCTCGCATACCGCTAAAAAACCCGCTCAACGCTGTTTGTCCAAGACGCGTCTAATGTGCGGCCTGAGCCAGCCTCACATGTTCCGCCGATGGCATTGTTTACAAGCCAGCCTCCGCAGTAACATCCAAGCATACAATCGTAACATTTCGTATTATTACAGTGTTTTTGGTGATTTTATCTGCAAAATAAGTGACCATGGGCCCCAAGAAAGCTTCTAGTCCCAACCCTGTGGTAAAAAGGGTGAGAAATATTATCAAAATACTGTGGTACCATGGTCAACTGCTGATGCTGCTGCTGCTGTAGCACTGTCAGCTGCTGCTGTAGCACCGTCAGCTGCTGCTGCTGCTGTACCACCGTCAGCTGCTGCTGCTGCTGCTGTACCACCGTCAGCTGCTGCTGCTGCTGCTGTACCACCGTCAGCTGCTGCTGCTGTAGTACCGTCTGCTGCTGCTGCTGCTGTAGTACCGTCTGCTGCTGCTGTAGCATCGTCTGCTGCTGCTGTAGCATCGTCTGCTGCTGCTGTAGCACTGTCAGCTGCTGCTGCACTGTCAGCTGCTGCTGCTGCTGTAGCACTGTCAGCTGCTGCTGCTGCTGTAGCACAGTCAGCTGTTGCTGCTGCTGTACCACCGTCAGCTGCTGCTGCTGCTGCTGTAGTACCGTCTGCTGCTGCTGTAGCATTGTCTGCTGCTGCTGTAGCACTGTCAGCTGCTGCTGCTGCTGTAGCACTGTCAGCTGCTGGTGCTGCTGTAGCACCGTCAGCTGCTGCTGCTGTAGTACCGTCTGCTGCTGCTGCTGCTGTAGTACCGTCTGCTGCTGCTGTAGCATCATCTGCTGCTGCTGTAGCATCGTCTGCTGCTGCTGTAGCACTGTCAGCTGCTGCTGCTGTAGCACTGTCAGCTGCTGCTGCTGCTGCTGTAGCACCGTCAGCTGCTGCTGCTGCTGCTGTACCACCATCAGCTGCTGCTGCTGCTGCTGTAGTACCGTCTGCTGCTGCTGTAGCATTGTCTGCTGCTGCTGTAGCACTGTCAGCTGCTGCTGCTGCTGTACCACCATCAGCTGCTGCTGCTGTAGTACCGTCTGCTGCTGCTGCTGCTGCTCTGCTGCTGCTGTAGCATTGTCTGCTGCTGCTGTAGCACTGTCAGCTGCTGCTGCTGCTGCTGCTGCTCTAGCATTGTCAGCTGCTGCTGCTGCTGCTGTAGCACTGTCAGCTGCTGCTGTAGCATTGTCAGCTGCTGCTGCTGTAGCATTGTCAGCTGCTGCTGCTGTAGCACTGTCAGCTGCTGCTGCTGCTGCTGTAGCACTGTCAGCTGCTGCTGCTGCTGCTGCTGTAGCACCGTTGTTGGTGTGGCTTATTGAGAATACCAAGAAACAATTAACCCCAGAGGGTTAGCCACCCAGGATAACCCACAAAAGTGTGTCATCGAAGACTGTCTAACTTATTTCCATTGGGGTCCTTAATCTTGTCTCCCAGGATGCAACCCACACCAGTCGACTAACACCCAGGTGAACAGGGAAAAACGCCTGAAACTAGTGCTCATATTGGTGAATTTAAAGCCAGCAAAGGTTGGTTTGAGAGATTTAAGAATCGTAGTGGCATACACAGTGTGATAAGGCCTGTTCTGGAAGAAAGTGCCAAACAGGACCTACAGTACTCAGGAGGAAAAGGCACTCCCAGGACACAGTGTCTCATCAGTCATTGCTGCATCTTCAATAAAGGTAAGTGTCATTTATTCTTCATTTAGTAGAGTAGTACATGCACAATATATACTGTGCATGTACTACTCTACTATTGTGCATGTATGCTTCTCTTTGTGTGTAGGAAAATGTATATTTCATGTGGTAAAATTTTTTTTTTCATACTTTTGGGTGTCTTGCACAGATTAATTTGATTTCCATTATTTCTTATGGGGAAAATTCGTTCGCATTACGATAATTTCGCATAACAATGAGCTCTCATGAACGGATTAATATCGTTATGCAGGGGTCCACTGTATTACCCTGCTCACACTACAACAGCTCGTCAGGTCCCAAAAACTATTTGTCTCCATTCACTCCTATTTAACGCTCACATATGCTTGCTGGAAGTCCAAGCCTCTCGCCCACAAAACCTCCTTTACCCCTTTCAATCTTTTCGAGGACAGCCCCTACCCCACCTTCCTTCCCCTACAGATTTATACTCTACCCAAGTTATTCTACTTTGATCCATTCTCTCTAAATGACCAAACCACCTCCATAGCCCCTCTTCAGCCCTCTGACTAATACTTTCAGTATCTCCACACTCCGAATTCTCTGCATAATATTTATACCTCACACTGCCCTTAGAAAGGACATCTCCACTGCCTCCAGCCGCCTCCTCGCTGCAGCATTTGCAACCCAAGCTTAACACCTATATAAGAGTGCTGGTACCACTATACTTTCATATATTCCCTTCTTTACCTCCATGGATAACGTTTTTTATCTCCACAGATACCTCGACATACCACTCACCTTTTTTCCTTCATCAATTCTATTGTTAACCTCATCCTTCATAAACCCATCCACTGACAAGTCAACTCCCAAATATCTGAAAAC